GTGGTGGGAAGGTGTAAATTATAAAAGATATTTAACGCTTGACCCTAAACTTAAAGAGGTTAAGAATGTAGTGATCGATAAAGCATCGAGATTTTGTTTGTGGAACATACTCCCGAGAGGATGCTTCTCCGATCAGCCACTCTTGGGAAGATGTTCGGATGGAACTTACCAATTAATTACGAAGGCAATGAGAATGGTTCGCACCTGTGTACATGAAATTCCGGGGGTTTAGCTCTAAAGTTCGGAATTGGTGAAACTCAGGTACAAAGTTCGTCAGGACATTTTCCATGGAAATAGAAATAGAAGGTAAAAGCTTACGACGTGTCATCTCTGGGGAAGGGGTTGTAGGGTGGAACATAATTAATCACCCACAAGTCCGCGTTAGATATTTTGAACTCTGTTAAGGCTGAGAAGAGAGGCTTAGGCAGCTTCAGCCAGGATGTGGCGACAGTACTTCGTCTTTGAACTGATATGATTTTTTTAAAAATAGAGCATGGTAGGTAGAGTTAAGTACTATCCAGAGTGATATAAGGATTGCAGCCACACCTTAGTGGTACCCTTGAAACGATACAGGTGACTGTTGCAAGAAGAATGTAAGAATCTTTTAAAGAAATGAAAATATTAAAACATAATTAATGAAATCGGCAATTTTTCATCCAATTTATCCAGAGTAAGAGTAATATATTTCCGGTTTGTTTTGGTTTGGTTTATTTTACGGTATATCAACCTCAATGGGTTATTTAATGCCGATCATTTTTTTTTCCTGGTAATATTTTGTTTTGTCAATATATATTCCTGGTTATATATTTTTTCTTCAAAAATGTATTATATAGCTGCCAATATTATTTTTATATTGCTGGTAATTATTTTTTTCAAAAATATATTGCAGGTAATAGTTTTTTTTTCTTCAAAAATTTATTTCTGGCAATAAATTTTTACAAAGTATTTTTAGCATTAAATCCTATTTTTACACTTTCGGGGTTCACTATTTACCCATAGCAGGGACCCTAACAGGTGCTACCAACCCGGGTCAGGGTGGACTTGAGAACACCAGCTGTGGCACCCTGCATTATTAGAAAAACAAAAAAAATATTCATAGAAATATGATTTAATTTTTTTATTCGGTTTATTAACCAGTTGTTAGTTTTTAGACGAAGAATAATTGAGTTTCGAGAATTCTCTAATTGTACTTAGGCGATCCTAAGGGAAGAAAAAAAAGAAAAAGAGAAAGAAAAGAAAAAAGAGAAAGAGGATGAGTAATGCAAAAGGCCGGTCATTAGCGAAAACAGGTGTCAAGATGTATCTAGGCCAACGCGCCTGACCGAATTTCAAAAGACAATGGAAATTGTTATTTGGAGAAATAGAATTAAAGGTAATTAAAAAAAAAAGAAAGAAAACAGACTTGGTAAAAGTGTATGAACATATGTACGATTGATAAAAATGTCGGTCAAAGCATCTGGCCTACTTTTGTGTAGAAGACTCGTTATCAATTTGGAGAAATGGGATTTTTTAGAACAATGGAAAACGAAATATTAATCGGAGAAAGGTGTCTTTTGGGATGAGAAGGTGACCGCTGGAATTGTATACAGATTCTGACCTGTTAAAAATTGGAACCCCCACGATGATGAAGTGAAAGACATTTTCAATTCAGATAATTAAGATTTTTGACTATCAGGTCTGAGCAAAAACAAAGAGGTGAAAAACAATTTCTTGGCTCACAGAAAGCGCCAGCGAGACGGAAAAATTCTTCCTGAAGTCACATCTAATTAGCGGCGGGCTGTTTTGACAGAAACCAGGAAGGTGAGAAAGGCCGAGATTGTCATTTTTCGTGCGTACGAAAAAGGCCAAATTAGATTTTGTTTTGTTTTTTAGCAAGGTGTTCTTCCCAGAACAACGACGGGATAAGCCACGCCCGATTGGAGACGTCACGAAGTACGGGAGACGCCCAACCAGAATCTCATTGGCCGAAAGCGGTCACGTGATATGCGAGAAAGAGGAGAAAAGACTTTTAAGACCCATTGGTCGAAAACGGTCACCTGACATACGAGAGACCGGAGAGATGGTATGCGCCTCCCCACCAGAGGCACTTTGGAGGAAGTAGGGTGAAAATAAGAGCGATAATGGAAATCAGAAAATAATGCGACTTTTGAATTATCGAAAAACCCTGACGCCGACAGACCCACCCCAGTTTGTTGCGGCGTCAATAAAAGCAGGACCCCAGTCGACAGAAATCTTGACCGCGGGGGCAGAACGCGGGCATTTTCATTCGCCCCTTTGCGGGCAAGAGAATCCTAAGACAAGAAATCCTTCCAGCCCAAGTCGAAGAAGAAGAAGATTGCTCGAAAGCCGCAGAGAAGTTGCAGCCAAGTCGAAGATAAGAAGAAGAGCTGCAGGCCAGACAGAGAGAAGAATTGCAGGCCAGACAAGAAGAAGAGCTGCAGGCCAGACAGGCAGTAAAGTTGCAGGCCAAACAAGCAGATCAGTTCAGCCCCGGACGGCAGCGAGAAGGGTCCACCTCAGACGGCAGAGAGAAGAGTTGCAGGCCAGACAGGCAGTAAAGTTGCAGGCCAAATAAGCAGATGAGTTCAGCCCCGGACGGCAGCGAGAAGGGTCCACCTCAGACGGCAGAGAGAAGAGTTGCAGGCCAGACAGGCAGTTTGAAGGCCAAACAAGCAGATCAGTTCAGCCCCGAACGACAGAGAGCTCAGTTAGCCCCAGACGACAGAGAGCTCAGATCACCTCAGACGGCAGAGAGAAGAGTTGCAGGACGGAAGAAGAAGAAGTTACTTGCAGTTATGCATAGAAGAAGTTGAAATCAAACCAAGCCCAAGAACAGAAATTCATCTCAAACCAAATCGAAGTGAAGAAATACGTCCAACTCAAGCCGAAGAGAAGAATCAGCCGTGAACGACTGGTAGGGATTGGCGCCCAGTGTCAAAACTGAACCACACTCCGACACACAAAATTCTAGAGAGTAGGCAACTCGAAGTCTTTAAGTTGTATGATAGAAGCTTGGTGCCACAGTCCACAAAGCGGGTCGGGAATAATTTTTATGTAACGAACATTAGATATAAAAGGTTGTTACCCTTTTTTATCAGTAATTTTTGGTCTCGTGAGTTTTTTTTCTTTTACTTGTGTTTTGCCACCCCCGTCGAACTCAACTTGCATACGGCCCCAATCCCTGTTTGATCCCGTCTGTCTAAGATCTAATCACAACGTGGGTAGGCAGACCGGAGATCAGTACAGTTACCTAGTAACCAGGTGTTGGAAGCGAGTTGGGAGAGGCGAGGCTGGTAATCATCTAACCAAGGGGTTGGAACGTCACACTTGGAACAGCGAAGAGCGACCAGGAGGAGCGACGTCACAGTTGGCGCCGTGACCAAAGGATTCGACCCTGGACCAAGTGCCGTCACAAGCAATTAAGAGGTGGTTCCACGCTCCTCAAAACCTCCTGATCAGAGGCTTTGCTGTTGGACGTAGTTTATCGTCTTACCCAGGACGCGGATGTAGTTTGTCATCATACCCAGGACGGAATATATTTCCGGTGGAATCTATTTTTCAATATATTTTTTCGTAACGTACGCTTAGGAAGGATTTTCTCATTTATTCAGATCTTGTTGAATGGAACAGTCGCAGAATAAAGTTATGTTTTTTAATCAACTTTACTTGGTGAACTAAACGTTTTATATTCGATGGAAATCCATGAATGAACCGTCCATTGTTAAATTGGTTAAAAATGGGAATCTTAGACGTTTTGACTGTTTCAGTGGATCGCATAAGAAAAGAGACAGAACGATATAAATTGCAAATTGTTTTAGTTTATTGTAAAACGAATTAATAAGATTTTAAATTACAGTCGGTGGTTAACGCGGTCTTGTAGGCTATGATGATTTTCCACTCTATTAAAATCATGCCTGAAAAATCCTGGGTCGATTGTTAAGAAAATCTTCACAGTAGACCCTCTCTTGAACCGGCGAAAATAGTAGTATGTCACGAACATTTTATGAAGGGTACCTTCAGAGCAACCTCGTAACCGACGTCATGATTTGAAACTCGTGATTTCTGATGTGAAAGTGACGTTTTCATGAACACATTCCAGAAATTGCAGGGATGATATAAAGATAATTTAGCAGATTTCTGGTTATCGGATTTTTGGGTCTCTTTTACTCCGGGATTTTTAAGCAGTCAGGATTATTATTTTTGAGCGGGTTAACAGCAAAACCTGCCACGGCAACATCAAGGAGGGGGTGGGTCAATACGCACAAAAACAGCACAGTCAACAGTTGCGCAGCATTCAAGATCGTATTGAGGTTGTAAACGAAATTTGATGACATTTCTGCGTTTTAATAATATCTTTTCCTATTCGTATTATTTACATTCGGACTTTTGTCCTCATCTTTGTTGTTGTCATCACAACGTTTCGACCGCTGTGCTCTCCCGCCTTCATCAGGTGTATATCAATCCGGGTAACGTACAGGGAATTCCAAATTGAACCATTTATTTAATATACGGGGGTAGACTGTTCTGGGGATATCTTATCTAGTTCTTTCTGATACTGCTCAGTTATTGCTCGCCCTGCTTCCACGGAGTACCAAGTACACAATGATCAGCTAAAGGGATTGAACTCACAGTCACCCAGTACTTGGACTCCGTGGAAACAGGGTGAACAATAACTGAGCAGTATTAGAATTAAGAAGCAGACGAAATATCCCTAGACATGGGCAGTGGAATAGGAACAATGATTGATTGAACGAATTGCTGGTTATTTAAAGCCAGAAAATATTTTTAGATTGTAAGAATCTTTTGGGGATAACAATTGTTTAGTGATAAAAGTCTTAATAATTAACCTATCTTTGTGGAGAGATGAGGTGGATTCATACCTTCCCCAGGGATATTTGCAATTTAGTGAATATACCAAACCTAATGGGAATTGAAACTCGGCTCTCTGATTATAAATTCCGAGCCATTATTCATTACACCACCCGCACATCCAAGATGTAAGCACCTGGTATTCCCAAGTGGTCACCCATCTAAGTACTGACCACGATTGACTATGCTTAAATTCGGTGGTCGTACAAGAATCTGTGTTTCAACGTGATATAGCCGAAAGCTTAGAACGATAAAAGTTCCACCCCGTAATATAAATAGTGTAAATAAGGGCAAATCGAGAAAAAATAGTAATTAGTAAAATTATTAGTAAATGGTACAACCTAGGCTATATTTATGAGGTATTATTTTGGTTAAACAAGCCATGATTACAATTAAGCGAAAAATAATAGGAAAAAAAAAAAAAAAACACGAGCCTATAAAAACTTTATAATATCCAAAGATAAGAAAACAAAAAATAAAAACAAGCAATTATTACAATTGAGCAAAGCAGTACGGTTATTAAAATTCAGTCAAAAATTCTCCTTTATATGATCTTTACAACGCGCGTCTTGTAAATCTCATAGTGGGATAATTAGGATATAAAAATTCTGATTGCATTTATACCAATGCAACAGGAAGTTATCGCAAGAAAAATATTAATAAACAAATATATTTTACAAATATTAATTTGAATTTATTGCATATAATTTTAGTAAAACAATGTACTAATATTAAACGTGATGAAATTAATATAATGAACATTATCAATGATAACACTTTTAATCTGCATTTAAAATAATGGCAATAGGTATATTTAATATATTTATATATATTTATATATAATTACTCTAAAGTCTAAGCTAATAGGAGTTGCCAGGTAGCTAATTTCGGCCGACTATCGCGAATTTTAAACCTACGTATGACATATAAGAAGCAGGAGAATTTTAGTAAAAAGTGCGCCTTATATGCCGTCAAATACAGTAGTTCATGGCGATCAAAACAGTCGCTCATTATTATCTGACGGGGGACGTACTAAAATTCAACAAGTTTATTATTATTTCTTTGGATTTCTGTTTTATACACACTTACTCCTGGGTCCCAATCAGAGACCTCAGGTCAGAAATGGTTTCCTGGCATTTTCCACTGTTCATTTTTGGAAAAAGAAAAACCCAAAATCACATTATTATCACATACATTTTACATAGATAAATCTCTTCGTAATGTGTTGAGCTGTACTTGTGAGTACAGTTTTTTGTATTTCTGTAAGGCATGGGCAACCAGGAATCCCTTCAGTGAGCCTATGGTAACCTCTTCTAATCAGTCCAAGGACGCCAACTTTTTTTTTAAGCATTACGCCCCGAGCAAGGCGTGAAGCCACTAGGATGCAGGGGGTTGCAGAAGATTTGGAGCGAGAGCTGATAGGAGTGATAGAAGAAAGGATAAGGAGAGGGATAGTGGATAGATCAAGGTAACTGGAGATGTCGATTGACATTACATTTGAATAGTTGGAGATTATAGCTCTCAGGGAAACAGTAATTGGGAAGGGTGTTCCACAGGCGAGAGGTGCGAGGTATGAAGCTATTGGAGTAGAAGAGACGGCTACATTTAAAAGTTTCTACAGTGTAAGGGTGGAAGCGGGATGCCAGTCTCGTAGGGCGCTTGAATTCATGGAGTCTGGGAACCAGTGAAAGCAGCTCATCGGAGCAATTACCATGAAAGTATTTGTAGAAAAGACAGAGAGAGGCGACGGAGCGTCTGTGAGAGAGTGACTCTAGACGAGACGCCAGATCAGGGCCAATTATATTACATATCCGTCTCTGGATCTTGTCAAGAACTCTGAGGTAAACAGAAGGTGCCCCAGACCATATATGGCAGCAATACTCCATGCAAGGGAGAATGGTTGATTTGTATATTTGAAGTATCGGTTCCGGAGAGAAAAATTTTATGGTGCGGCACAGAGACAACTTTCCTCGCGATGGAAGAAGCAACTGACTCAATGTATTTGTTCCATCTCAGGTCAGCAGTCAACGTGAGACCGAGCAGACGCAGGGAGTTGCTCTCAAGTTGACTATCAGACATTCTAATGGGGGACAGGGAAGGATCTCTATGGTGATTAATAGAGAGTAGTTTAGTTTTTGAGGCGTTAAAATTGACCAGCCAATTCTTGCCCCAATTAACAACCGATTGGAGGTCCAAATTCAAGACGCACGGCCAAGTTAGTTTTGTCGCTGACACTAGATTTGTTTTTGAGGCAGGAGTAAATTGTAGTGTCGTCGGCGTAGATGCCAACCCTGGGAATCTATGGCGTCAGGAATGTCGTTGATGAACTACTACTGAAATTACTAATGCCCTCATGTACCACATATTTTAGAAGATCCTTGTGTTTTGATAGTCTCTGGAAGATCTTCAAAGATACATTTCAATCTGCAGGAACTCCTATATCAATAAGAAATCAGATCCTGTTTTGGGGGATATTGATGTCTGGGCGATTACTTTTGATTCATCTGTCTGTGTTTATTGTAAAGTCGCATAGAATTGTTATAGGTCCTTTCTCTGTAACCAGGTCTGGATGATGTCCATACCAGTTTCTGGTTGCTAACATTATTATTATTATTAATAATAATAATAATTAGGAAATTTGATGGAAATTTGCTTCATTCTCCATATTTGAGTGTTTTACCGGTATTGCGTTAACAAAAATCACGATACGATGTGGTATTTTTAGTGTTTTATGATAACATATTAATTAATCGAATCATTTTTATATAAACTGGTGAGACATTTATTAATGGTCGTGAATATATCTACGCGTTTGTACCTGTGAGCGAAAGATTGCTCGCTTGTTTTTGTAGGTAGTTAAATGCATGAATAATGAGTGTGTGTGTATGGGATTCTGTCTACGAAAATGATTTAATGTTATAAAAGAACCCCACATAAATGACATTTAACTATTATGAAATGAGGTCCACAGAATGAGGGTCGGCGCCGTCTGTGTTAATATAAGCCTACTGAATATTTCAGCATTGCATCTTTTCCGTATAACGGGCTTGATTGGCATCAAATGAAGTAGATGTAAAGGCAGGGATGCGTAAAGCACTAGATTGACTGATCTATTTATTGATTTGTTTTTTACGGCTTATCAACCCTTTGCAAGTTATTTAAAGCAAGAAAATATTTTAAGAATTTTTTCTGAGATAATAATTTGTTAACGATACACGTCTTGCTAATTAACCCATAGCTGGAGGGAGAAGAGGTAAATTAAAACGTTTTCCTATGGCATTTGCTCGCAAGTTAATATAACGAACCCAACTGGAATTGGAACTCGGCTCCCCGATTAACAATTCAGAGCCATTATTCAGGCACCACCCGCACAACCAAGCTTACAGCAGCTGAAATTCTAAAGCAGTCACCTTTTTAGGAATTGAACAGGTTCGACGTTGCTTAACTTCGTGGATCTTATGGTGACCAGTGTTTCAACGCTATGTGGCTGTAAGCCTATAACGCTTGAGAAAATACGAAAATTGAACCTAATGACAACGCACATGTGGAGAAATATATGTTAAATTATATATATATATCCACCTGTAAAAAAAAGATTAAAAATGACGGAAGCTTAATAATAAAAAAGAAAAAGCCAACTCTTAACAAAATTAACTACGAACAAGGCCACAATGTGCTAACCATATTCGGAAATTAAAAACATCCTTACTACACACTAAGACATACACATAATGCACACACTCAATTAAGCTGGAAAATTGAATCATCCTTGATAATGGCTAAAGGTGTAGCCGAAAGCGCTAGGAAATATAAAACATTTGGACAGTTTTTGCACACTTTTGGCCAGAAAAAGAAAGATCTTGTTCAAATACAGAAAAAAAAAATAAATAAAGAAGCTTAACCGTAGTACCTTGTCTGCCGGTTTTAATGAAACATGCATATATATATATATATATATATATATATATATATATATATATATATATATATATATATAATATAACGCTAAGTTGGAAATTATATATTCAGTTATATGAAGATGTAGGTATATAATAATAATAATAATAATAATAATAATAATAATAATAATCAGAAGAAGAAGAAGAAGAAGAAGCTGATGATAATGCTACTACTGCTGTCAAAACTACTGCTGCTAACGCTAAAAGATATAAGAGGAAAATAGAAAAAAATGAAAACGTAACGAATATAAAGATTAATGAAATCATATAAAAAATATTTTTAAAAAGCGAAGCAAAGGTATAATTTAAAAACGTGTAAACAAATTTGACAAAACTTGCAATGAAAATCCATATTTTTGCTCGGCAGGGTCTCCTTCTCCCAGTCTCGCTTCCATCTCTTTCACTCTCCCTGTTACCAGATTTAATAGTAGATTTTTTTTCCTATGGCCCATCTACATTACTCGTTTCTCGTCCATTTTTTTTCTGTTTCATTTTCCCAGCCTTGTTTATTTTAACAATCTTTTATTGTATAATTTATGCTTCTTCCCTCTTGTCCCCGGTCCCGTCAAATGATCTCCCCTGTCTTATTTTCTTTCTCTCCCTCGTCTCAGCCACTTCTTTCTTTCTTTCTTTCTCTCTCTATCTATCTATCTATCTATCTATCTATCTATCTATCTTACTGTCCCTATGCCGTCTTGCTATACAGAAATATTTCTTTCCCTTTATTTAAATAGATTTTATTATATTTAGCATCTAAGAAGTTAAAAAGATCAATTCAAAAAGAAACAAATATCAAATATCGAATATAAGCCCCAGTCTGAACGAGCAAAAATCAAAAAGAATTAAACGAAAAAAAAAAAAAAAAAAAAAAGACGTAAGTGAAAAGAATAAAAAGAAAGAATGAAAAAATGTCGTCTGGCGGGAAGACGTTGCAACGGTGGAAGGAGATAATAACGTAGGTTCACTGTACAATTAGGACAATGGTGAAAAGCGTGCGTTTTTTCCCCCATTCTGTCTACTTATACTTTTATTTATTTATCTTGTTTTTCTACATAAATAACCCCCAATAATGTCAGCGACCTATCCAAGTCCCTGATGCTCTTCCCAAGCGTAATCCTGTCATCTAGTTTTTAATTCTTTTCTTGTATTTAATCAAAGGCAATGGATTTTTTTTAAATGTTTGCTTAGTTGCTAAAGTGTTTCTTTCTTCTGATCCTATTATATTCGATTACCTTTGTATTTATATCAGGTTTTCTTTTCTTTTTTTGGTAATTTTTTCT